AAAAATATTTTTATGTCAAATCGAATAACATCACATAAATTAAAATATAGAGAATATTCATTTAGAATCCACCACAAACTAACGCACTAATGGAGATAAATTGACCGATGTGATTCCACTAATTGTAAAGCAACTCATTGTGTTTTTTGGCCGGGTGACCATACAAATATACAAAATCATAATATTTCAATATTTGCACTATTTTTTCCCTTCATGTTTCGAAGAACTATTTGAGGTGCTTATATACTCTTTTTTTCTTTTTAGTTTTGTATGTTCTACTTTCTTTTAGTTCTTATTTATTTTTGATAATTTTAAAATTCTAACTTTCACATGATATATTTAAGATTTTGATTTGTCATTGTTGATTTTGAAACACCTTTTAAATAAGAAGTTATTTTTGGATATGGTTTCAAGAAATCTCCTATGTTGCATTTATAGTTTTTTTTTTCCATCATCATGCGTCGAATGTTTTTAATAATAACGAATAATAATTGATTATTAAGAAACAATGAATATTATGTATAATTTACAATGAAACATTGAAAATATATTACGATAAATCATACACATATATTGTACTTTATGTATGATAAATTTAGTACTTATGTGAAATCAATAAATATGATACATAAATTAGTAAGATACAATAATTTTAATGTAGTCATTGTACTTCATATATATATATATATATATATATATATATATATATATATATATATAGTAAAAACAATTTATGTGAAATCAATAAATATGATTACATAAATTAATGTTCAGTAAATCTCGGAATCATTCTGTAAATTAATAAATAATAATTTATGTTATGACCCGATTTGAAAAACTGAAAGGTTTCGAAGTCGATTTCGCAACTTTGGCTAATTTTGTTAAAGTTTTTGGAAAAAATAGTAATTTTAGAGTCGCGATTTATTTTTTAAGAAAAAATAAAAAGACCATTTAAAAGGAGATTCTTGAAAGAAAATATTTAAATAAACCAGAGCCGGGTAAGGGTTCAAATAATTCTCTAAGGGTTTAGGCACCTTGGAGAATCCGCAAACACGCGGTTTACCGATGGATTTAAAAATTGGCTAATTTTTAAGATAAAAACGTAGGAATATTTGCGAAAAATTTTGTTTTAAGACAATTAAAGTCTTTTGATACTTATACACTCATCTTATTTCAAGTATGAAATAAGTCCAATTTTAAGTGTCAAAATGATAATTTTAACTCAATATTTCTATCCGAGGTCAAGATTTAGAGTTGAAAAATCAACACAATAACTTCGACATGGATTTGAAAGCTAAATACTAACTATGAAAGATTATAAATAATTCTCAAGTTAGTCTCGTAGCTTAGATTGTCTAACTTAAAAAAATTTTGAAAATTTAAACACTAAAGTAAACAATTAACGTAATAAAAGAATTATGTAAGAACTTCCAAGGATTCATCTAAGTTAGATAAAATAAATGTTAAAAGTTAGAAGTAAATATCACAAAATGGCAATACATAATGGAAATAAAATGGCACTGTTTTCGGACTCTTTTAAGTCCCAAAAGAATGCTATTTTTAGCCCTTTTTGGATTACTGCTTCACCGCTCCATATATAGTTGGGTTTAGACCCAAAAGATAATATTTTCAGCTCCTCTGGAACTATTATAAACCTGTTACTGAGCTGCTGCAATTTATTTGAATTTTAACTCGAAGCAACTAGCTTCCCCTTTCGAAACTTGATGGAGGTTGATTCGAAAAAGGAAGGCAAGAAAAGGGAATCCGGATTGACTCAAATAGATGAGTTCATGCAAAATAAAAATGAATAAGAAAAAGAATTAGCAATTGATCGGTGAAAATGATCTATAGT